CCCGAATCTCGAGTCGCTTGTCACGGGCATGCTGGTGTCGCGCAACCCCAGGTGTCTTTTCGTGTTACTACCCAGAGGCCCCAAAGTAGTTCCCTTTTGGGATTACCTTATAGGATTCTATGTACGAACCCCCAAAAGGAACTACTTTGGGGCCTTTGGGTAAAAGCAGCTGGGGGCTCAATGCTCTGGGGCAAGCACGAAGCTGAGTCTTGATCAATCCTTTACTTCGGCCTCGGACGCTAAGCCCTACAGCCTAAGCAATGGATTCACTGAGCCTTGAACTCTCTAATCCCTATACACATTAGAAGCTTGGACCTTGAACCCCAATTAAAGCAGCCGAGACTTTGCAAATAAAGACTTGAAACCAAGGAAAAGCGGCCCAGCTACCACCGTAACCAGAGCGCGCTGATTTGCAAGACTTGCCAGCAGAGCCACTGGGCTCTGGGGTGGGCTTTTGCTCTGGCTTGTGGTTCGTAGTGCAGGGTTTGGGCTTCGGTTTAAGGATTCACGGTGAAGTGAGTTTTGGCCGAGGGCCTCGGGAGGGTTTTCGGGTATGCGACCAGTATTTCGATGGCAGTCACGTTGATTCGAACTACTGGCGCAAGCCAATAAAAACCCGAAACCTAAGCCCTAAACCGAAACACCAAACCCTAAACGCCAAACCCTAAACCCTAAACGGCCCTAAACCCTAAACCCCAACCCTAAACCCTAAACGCCGAACCCTAAACCCCAACCCTAAACCTTAAACCCTACAGCCCTATAAACCCTGCAAGCCGGAGCCCAGCCCGGACCACCCTCTACCCAGAGGCCCCAAAGTAGTTCCTTGTTGGGATTACCTTATAGGATTCGATATATGAACCCCCAAAAAGGAACTACTTTGGGGCCTTTGGTAGGGCTTTGAGACATTTTATATTTCCTCTTATTGGGCTTAAGAGGATCTTACCTACTAATACTTTTCACAAGCTTCAAAAGCCCCTCCCAGAAGAGCCCACCGGAGGGCCAATCCCCAAAAGCCCTAAACGTAAACAAACCCATAGGCCCTGAAACCCCAAACCCAAATCCAAGCCAACAATAAAGCATTACAAAACCCAATAAAGCCCTGAAGCCCTAAGCCCTGAAGTCCCAAGCCCTAAACCCTAAACCCTGAAGCCTTAAGCCCACAGCGCCGGTTCAGCGCCGAGGCTCAAATCTCCGACGGATTCCGGACCTCAAGGCTCTTGCGGGTTGACGGTTTAGGGTTTAAGGGTTAGGATTTAGGATTTACGGTTTAAGGTTTAGGGTTTAAGTTTTAAGGTTTAGGGTTTAAGGTGCAGGGTTTAAAGTTTTGAGGACTATCTGGGGTACCATGAGGGCCTTAAGAATGCGGTTGCCATAAGTGTAGTATATGGTCACTATGGGTCCTATAAGGGTCCTTTCAAAACATTGCCTCATGCAAAAAAACGACGAGGTATTCTGAGGGCATGATCGCGCTACTTTAGATACTATAGGGGCGCCACAAGGCTGCTGCAAGGGTGCTCGAAGGCTACTATAGGGTTCCTATAAGTGCACAATTGATGGTGACGGTTTGGGGGACTATAACTATAAGAGTTGAGGGTGTTCGGTTTAAGGCTTCGCGCTCATAAATGGCGATGCTTGCCATACGAGTTTACAAAGGTTTAGGGTGCATTTTTGGGGCTGTTCGTTAAAAGGGTTAACGGCTGCCACAGTCTCTGGGGATGTTCGGGGTGCAGAATTCAAGCTTGTAGGACCTATGCGCTTTTTAGTGTTCACAGGGTTTAGGGTTTCGGCTTTACGGTTTTGGGTTACCCCAAACCCTAAACCGGAATGTGTAGGTTTCAACAGCATGGTCTTTTCCGCTTGGCTCAGTGGCTCGGAGGGCAAAGCCCATACCACGCGAGCCTGTCAAGCCTTTGCAATAAAGGCTTCAACGTTCGGGGTTTGGGGGGGCTCAGGGTTTCCGGTTCTTCGGGTTTAGAGCTCAAGGCTTATGGGGTTTCGGGTAATGAAGGGACAAGTGGGCAGGTTCAGGGTGCTTGGTTAGGTGGTGGTGTGGATTCAGAGTTGGTGTTCCTGCATGACACCGGAGCATGCCCACCCTCAGCCATGTAAGCCCCAATGCAACCGAAAAAATCCAATACCACAAACCCTGAGCCCTACCAGAGCCCGTAAGAGCTTATCTGTCATGCTATCATAGAAGATGACGTTCGGATTTCTGGGTCATTTGTCCAAAGCTATTGGCTCGTCCTCCATGCCTGGGGTTGGTTTGCAGATACCCATACCAAACAACGAACAACCCGAGCCGCTAAATCGTACGGCGGACCCGGACTCACCCAGATGGACCAAGCCCTCAACGGCCCAATCCTGAGCCCCAATCAAGCTGCAGCAGGACGGCGTCTTCGTGTGCCCGGTGTGTCGATTTAGAGCTCCCCGGCCGAATACAAGTTTCAGGATTCACGTAGGGCCGAATCTCTGCGGATACCCGTTTAAGTGCTTGGCAGATACTTGTGATATTTCCCAATTAAAGCAATCAAAGCTTTTGCACAAGTATACAACTACCAATTAACCAGATTCATCAGGAATCCAGGGTTCTGAGCCCAAGAAACCCCCCTTCAAAGAGGGTTTAGATTTTAGGGTTTAGTGTGTATGGATTCGGCTTCAGGGACTAGGATTTCTGTTGAGTGCAAGGTTTCTGGGTTTGGGGTGTTCAGGGGTTTCAGACTGTCAGAAGCGAAAAGCCATGTGTTGGCTCGAGAATCTCCGAATCTTGAGCCCCACCCGGAACTGAAGCAACTTTCAGCTTTTAAAGCCCGCGCCCTTGCCGTACGTTCGCTGTGGCTGGCACCGAATACCCAGCAGCACAAGTTGGAAGAACGCAGGATATGGACCCCGATACAGAGGTCGGAACAAAGTATTGGTATTCCCCTACGGTTTCTAGTGCAACTACACTATAACCCTAAACCCCAACCCTAATTTCTGAAAGCCCTGGAACAGACTCTCCAAGACCCAGGATATGGACCCTCTGAGCCCAGCCCTAACACAACTATACTATACCATAATCCTAAACCTGAAACCCTACACTGAAATCACAACCCTAACCCTATACTCTACTATTGCTCTCAACCCTAAACTCCATAGTAGGATCAGATCAACAGTAGTGCTACGGTTGATGATATAAATCCTGCATGACCCATAATAAGGAATATACCACAATTCCCATATATCCCTTATTATGGGTAATGCAGGATTTATATCATCAACAGTAGTTAAGAACCACGTTATAGACCATGATAGACCCCAAGACCCCAAACCCTAAACCCTATAAACCCTAAACCCTATAAACCCCAGACCCTAAACCCTATACACCCTATAAACCCTAAACCCCATAACGCTATAAACCCTAAACTCTAATCCCTTATCGATCCCTTTAAAGGAATCCCTAAAACCTGATCCCTTCTAGATCCCTTTAAAGGAATCCCTGAAACCCCCCTTTAAAGAACCCTAGGACATGGATCCCTTACAGGTCCCTTTAAAGGAATCCCTAAAACCCCCTAAGCCCCCTTTAAATAGGACATGGATCCCTTATAGGTCCCTTTAAAGGAATCCTTAAAACCCCCTAAGCCCCCTTTAAATAGGACATGGATCCCTTATAGGTCCCTTTAAAGGAATCCCTAAAACACCCTAAGCCCCCTTTAAAGAACCCTAGGACATGGATCCTTTGAGCCCGATGAAAGAGAACGAGAAGGGACTCCTGAAGCTGATCCTTCTGCAGCCTCCGGTGCTCCCAGAGGAGTTTAGAGTTTAGGGTTTAGGGTTTAGGATTTAGGGTTTAGGATTTAGGGTTTAGGATTTAGGGTTTAGGGTTTCGGATTCAGGGTTTCGGGTTTAGGGTTTAGGATTTAGGGTTTGGTAGGGTTCGGAGCTGCCTTTAGCCAAAGGGGAAAAGGACGGACCCTCAATGGGGACCCCTACCCTATAACGGGCTATATAATGGGTATGTAATAGCTATATTGAGGAGTTTATGGTTTAGGGTTTAGGATTTAGGGTTGTTTGGTGGGGTTCGGAGATGCCTTTAGGGTTTGGTGGGGTTTAGAGGTTTAGGTTTTGGGGGTCCCGGGTTTAGTAGTAGGGTTTAAAAGCTTGCGGGTCCGGGGTTTACTAGTTTAGAGGTATTGAGGCTCTTGGGGGTGCAGGGTTTAGTAGGGTTCAGAGGTTTAGGCTTTCGTGTGGTGCAGGGTTTAGTACTGTAGGGTTTAGAGGTTTAGGTTTTGGGGGTGCAGGGTTTAGTAGGGTCGGGAGGTTTAGGCTTTCGTGTGGTGCAGGGTTTAGTACTGTAGGGTTTAGAGGTTTAGGTTTTGGGGGTGCAGGGTTTAGTAGGGTTCAGGATTTGCATGGGGTTTAATTAGGGGGTGTAGGGGTTTGGGTTCAGGGGCTAGTTATTGTTCATTTCAAGCGGGGTGAGGAAGGGGGGGTAGCGTTTACCTAGTTTTTGTTCGATAGCAATCTCGCCCTCCGCCAGATTCCCCAGCGCCATACACCCCAGAGCCAACGTGAAGACCTGAATCGAGGCCCAAACTGCGCCCACGAAAGCAACCTATAGTCTCCATTGTAGTTCCTGTTTGGGGTTACCTTATAGGATCCTAATTATATATTTGGTTCAACCAAAAAAAGGAACTACAATGGAGACAATAGGAAGAACTCTAAACCCTGACTCCCTCGGCGACAAACGCGTTGCAAACAATTAAATCCCCCGCAAAGAAACGCAACACACCTTCCACAGGATCGTAAGTAGCTACATGGGGTTCCTGCACAAGCCAGAATCACAAATTCTAAATGACAAGACCCTGTTTTCTACGGCGCAAGCCCTTAATGCCGGCCCATAATTTGGACCTAATAAGGCCTGTTTAAGGAAGTATAGTCCCCGACCCCCCGCCCCCTTACCCCCCTCAGGGTCCCCATGACTAAGGGCTGTAGGAGCGAGCTGAGCATACTTGCAGGAGACCATGGGCGAGGCGACGGTGAGGGTGAAGCTGAACCTCCCGAACCTCCAGTCGCCTCCTTGCAAGTTTCAAGGTTTGACAGTTGCAGAGCTTTCGGGATCACGGTTCAGGGTTGTTTAGACTCAGCCAGGTGGCACTTTTGATTGAAACTTCTCAGTTTCTTTCTACAGACGTATCGTTTCATGAATGCTTCTTCGGGAAACCAGCTAGATTTATTCAGTCACGGTTGGAGTTGCCATAAAATCTAGGTTCCCGGGGTTCTCGAGAAGGCTAAACTTGTGAACGTCTATTTGGTATTTTCTATCTCAACATAAATAGTTAAAAAGCTGGCAAGAAGGTAATATAAAGCTACAGGGAGAAGGTAGAACAAAGGTAACCATATCGAGAGAAGGTAAAACAAAGCTACGGGCAAAAGGTAAAGCAAAGGTAATCATATCGAGAGAAGGTAAAGTAAAGCTACAAACCAGTTACATAACATCAACTCCCCTGAACCCGCCGGCTCCTCTCAACAAGCCGGCCGAACAATTCTTAACTCAGCAGGAGTTAGTAGTTACTAGTAGCTTTTCTGGAATAGTGACTGTTGTTGCTGCTGACTTAGAAAAGTCTCTGCTCTGTTGCAGTCTGGGCGTTTCGCATCCACCCACTCCAGCCCCACCCCCTGTTCAAAGCACCCTTCCCTTCGCACCCTCCCCCCCTCCCCCCCTCCCCTCCTGCTGCGCGCTGCCCCCACCCCTCCCCCCCCCTCCCCCTTCCTCTTCCGCGCCCCCCGACGCCCCACGCACGCTCACCCCCCCGCCGCGGCCCCCGACACTCCCCGCACACGCTCGCGCCCCGCGTCGCCGACTAGCTTTGTCTCACGTTTTCCGAGCACCTTTTTCCTAGCTTGTTTCCAACCCGTGGCCCTCCCTCTGGAAATGTAGCTTTTCCTAGGGAAAAGCTACAAAAAAGGTGACAAAAAGGTGAAACAAAGGTGAAAGAAAGCGAAAGAAAAGGTGGGCCCGGAGTCCGAGGTAAAGAAAAGGTGGACGGAAAAGCTGGAGCAACGCTGCCCTGCAAAAGCAAAGCTGAAAAAAAGCTGCCCGGAGTAGTTAGGATAAGAAAAGCTGCCAGCAAAAGGAGGAGCCTTGAGTTCAAGGCCCGGGCCCCAAGAAGGACCCCCCCCCCCCAATTGAACCCCAGCCGACCCGGCTGATGCTCAGGATGCTCGCTTTGACTTCGCCGCAAACCCGGCTGATGCTCATGATGATCACCTGTTCCAGATACATTTTCTTGAGCTCTCTCTTGGTGTGTTACCTTCTTGTCAGCTTTCTCAGTTGCCTTTGTTTTACCTCTTGTTTCCTGTGTCACCTTGTTTTCAGCTTTCTCAAATACCTTTGCTTTAGCTTTCCATTGCTGTGTCACCTTTTCCTCAGCTTTCTCATATACCTTTGGTTTACTTTTGTTTCACCTTGTTAATTATTTAAGTGTTTATAATAAATACCAGCAATACACGTTCACAAGGCTAAACTGTACACCGCGGCATTTCTGGACGTAGGCATCCGTACACAATTTACACCGTTAGCATGTTTCGGAGCTAGGGATTCCAGCTACAAGGATGCTGAGCCGTAAATGTTCTAGCCCCATTATCTAATCCGGCCCTGCCTAAACCCGCTGATGCTTGTTACAGCTGCTTGTTTCTCCGAGCGGGAGCAGTCGCAGGCCTCACATACCGTTCCGTTCCAACGCCAACTGCTGTTCAGCTGGTGTGGGAGGGTTTCACTGGATGCATCTCTGCTTAGACCTGTTTCGCGGTTGAAGTTTTCTGATCACTCACTTTACTGCTCCAGCTAGCAGTGGCATGACGGCAATCTGAGAGGTCTGACAGCAGTTTCGGGACCCTTCAAGGAGCATTCATCAGGCTCTCTTTTTGGAACCAGTATCTTGAACCCTAAACCCTGAACCCTTTCTATCTCTTTCTAGCACCAGTACTCTAAACCCTGCCCTAAACTCCATACACCCTAAAACCCTAAACTCTAAACCCCATACACCCTAAACCCTAACCCCCCTAAACCCTGAACCCCATACACCCTAAACCCCATACACCCTAAGGCGTTCCTGTACATCAAATCAATCCAAGGCGGTGGCGCAAGCAAGGCGAGGAAGTGGACGTGCGCATGCTTAGTCTAGAGTCTTGGCCCTTTTGGATTGGCTATTACATAGGGGTTTAGGGTTTAGGGGCTTAGGGGTTGATGAGTTTATGGTCTAGGGGTTTGGGGTTTAGGGTTAGGGTTTAGCTTTTGGGGGTTTGGGGTGTAGTAGGGTTTAGGGTTTAGTAGGGTTTGGGGTTCAGTAGGTGCTATCAGTTTAGCGGTTTAGGGTTTGGGGTTTCGAGGGTTCTTGAGTAGTGATGCATGGGGCTTTTCAGGTTTGTCTCGGCGCTTCAGGTTCATCTTTACTGGGTTTAGGATGTGTTCGAGTCGTAGGATTGCTGGGGTTCTCCAGTGCCAGTAACGGTTTCGGGGCCCTAAACCCTCCACTGGGAATTTTGGGTTTTTTTGAGGGTTAAAGACGCGAGCTCCCGACTTCCATTACACTGTGTTTGTCTTCCCCCTCCCTCATCCCCACTTCGGCTCACGCTGCACGATGGCATACGATGGCCACGCGAAGCATCTACCCGGGTCCGCCTTCCTTCACTGGGGTCTCCAGGTCGTGCCGTCAACGAGGGAGAGGCAGGAGATGGTCAAAACAGTTGCGATGTGTCTCCAAATTTATCAAACTGACGACGAATCCCCGTCTGACGGTGTGGTACGAGAGTCGTTCCGCGCTCTGTATGGCTATGACCCGTTAGCCGTTGAAGAAGACAAAGGTGATGATGTTTGGCAGGAGTTGGGAACGGGCTCCGGCGAATGCAGCTGCCTGTGTGCTGGGGCAGGATACGTCTCAGGCTGCATGAACAGATCAATCTCCGTCTTCGTGCTGGAACCCTTCCAACATTCCCACTACACAGATAGTCTTGGAAAGTCCCAATACGGCCATGGCACATGCGAGGTGGATGGACCTAAGGCTGCGCAGACGTGGTTTTGGTGAGTTTTTGTTCTGCGCGTGAATTCTTAGGGGACCCAAAAGCACATAAGCATAAGCATTTGATGGGGATATCCCTACCTTATTGGGCTTCAGTATAAGGGGGTTTATATGGGATATCCCTATCCTAATTTTTGCTTATGTGCTTTTTTGTGGCCCTAAATTCCCAGGAGGAATCAGAGCTTGTTACGAGGATGCGCTGAGGTCATGAGCACATGCCTGAACCCTAAACCCTGCAGGCTGAGAAGCTGTTAGTGCGAGGGGCTTAAGCATCATTCGAGACACTATCTTGCTAGTTTGTAGCAATGTGCCAAAATAGTTTGCCCCCCCCAAAGCCCCATTCTAACTCTAACTATTATGGCCGCTATGTTTCGCTTCAGGGGCTCAGTACGAGAACGATTGTCAGAAGGAGCGAAAGCAGTTTCCGATCTTTAAACCTTCAGCACTACCTAGATTGCGTTTTTGCCCTACTGCTTTCCACGATACCTACTTTTGTTCTACGTATCTTGCGAAAGGGGTAGGGTATGACCCTCTAGGTATATCGTAGACTCGCCTTGCACCCTTAGGCCGTACTACCGTTTAGGGTTAAGGGTTCAGTACTGCCCCCAAAGAGGCTACCTGTTTTTTGTGGTTTCCATACAGAAGTCCTTTAGACAAGTCTTAAGGGGTCCAGGCAGGCCCTATGCCCTATGCCAATACTTGATTGTGATTGTGTTCTTTTGCCATCGTAGCTGGGTAGGTCAGCCTTTTCTTAGGGTTTAGGATACTACAAGGGGGTTCCTTTAAGGGATCTATAAGGGTACGATAGAGGTTCAGGGATAACCTTTAACTCTTCGGGGTGTATATAATCCTACCACAATTGAAAACATTCGCCTTTCTTGGGCAGGGTTACCTCCTAAACCCTATACACCCCTAAAGCCCCAAAACTAAAACCTACCTATACTCTCCATTGTAGTTCCCTTTTTGGTTATCCAAAATCTCTATTATAAGATCCTCACCATAAAAATTGGTTAACCAACAAATGGAACTACAATTGAGACTATAGGTAAAGCCTAAACGTTCTTTTGGTGCTGCTCAGGACTAAACCCCTAAACCCTAAACCCTAAGCCCCTAAACCCCTAAACCCTAAACCCCTAAACCCTAAACCCTTTTGGTGCTGCTCAGGACTCATGCGACACTCTCCAGTGCTGGCCTCATAGCCTGACGATGTGGGCCAACGGAGTCCAGGCCAAGTCTTGTCAGAGTGTTAGCTAGGTGGGGCTTTGGGACATTTTCTATTTTCCCTTATTGGGCTTAAGAGGATCTTACCTACTAATATTTTTTAAAGGGATTGAAATTCTCCTAGTTAAGACTACGGTTTTGGGGCTCTTTAAAGGGGGCTCTAGGGGTTCCTAGGGGTTGGGATCTAGGAAGGTGCAGGGTTTTAGGTTTTAGGGCTTCTGGTTTAGGGTCTGGGGTGTAGGGTTTAGGGGTTTGGGGGTTTCGAGCTGACGGCTTAAGGTTGAAGGTTCAAGATCTTCTGACGGTATGGCTAGCCGATCATATACTCCAAAGGCCAAACCCAAACCACCTCGAGCCTGCAATTGTTGAAGCACCAAAAGTTGGGGCGCTTAGCTCCGAACTTTCTACTTCATTCCTCTAAACCGCAAAGGCAATCTCGTGACTACCAGAAACCCCAAACCCCAAACCCTGACCGGAAAGCCAAGTTCTGCGTCTACAGTTACCCTCAACCTTCAAGCCGGAGCCAATGAATACTCCGCGAAGCCCTCAACCCGACACCCTAACACCCATCGTTGCCAGTGATCTCATATAGAGGCCTGAACTATCACCTAACTGTATTCCTATATATAGGCCACCTTACGTGTTGTACACATATTTTTATATACCCCCAAAAGCCCCTTCTAATTGTTGAGGTCCCTATATTGCTCTAATATAAACCTCTGAGCTAAGCCCCACATGACCCCATCCCCCGACAAAATGAAGCCCTTTGCCCTAAGCCCTAAGCCCTGAACTCTGCATTGCCCCACATCCTTAAATTTCGACACCCTGCATCCCCAAATATTGCAACCCCAAGAAAACCCTGCAATACACTGACCCATAATCTAATCCCAATAAGCCCTTGTAAACCCTCAAACCCTCAACATATGGGAGTTTCGGAAAATAGGGAACCCTAATATAGTACCCTCAATAGTAGGACCCTTATTGTAAGGACCCCAAAATAATAAGGTACCCCTCATTTTCGGAAACTCCCTTGTCGGCACCTTAAACAGGCCTTCCAGATCGAAGCGCCGAAGGCTTTTCGTTCCAACGGGTGTTCCCGAGGGCTTAGGATAGACTAGAGGTTGGGCATTAGGGTCTACAGGGTGTCGGCTGGTTTCGGGCTTAGGGTTGGGGAAGCATGGCGTCTGAGGTTTTTGTCGGGTTGGGTGTTTGCTTGGTTCGAGATTCGTTTTGAGTTGTAAGATACTTGCATAGTGGTGTGAGGCCATGGGGCTTTCCAACGCACCTAAACCCTAAACCCTCAACCCTAAACCCTAAACCCATCTAAACCCTAAACCCCTAAACCCCTAAACCCTAAACCCCTAAACCCTAAACCCCTAAACCCCTAAACCCTAAACCCCTAAACCCCTAAACCCCTAAACCCCTAAACCCGGCCCTAAACCCCTAAACCCCAAACCCCTAAACCCCTAAACCCTAAACCCCTAAACCCTAAACCCCTAAACCCTAAACCCCTAAACCCTAAACCCCTAAACCCTAAACCCTAAACCCCTAAACCCCTAAACCCCTAAACCCTAAACCCCTAAACCCCTAAACCCTAAACCCTAAACCCCTAAACCCCTAAACCCATCTAAACCCTAAACCCCTAAACCGCAGGGTTTCTAATTTTGATACGGGTGTTGCAGCGCTGTAGGGTTGAGGGTTTGAGATTTTTTGGGGGGCTTCCGGCTGCCGGTCTCAGGGCTGCATTATAGGGGCCTGAATAAGTGCCACTACTATATATGTATATACACACATATATACATATATATATATATATAGTTTTTTTTTTTTTGGGGGGGGGGTTCTGATTATACTCATTACATAATTGGCCCCAAAACCTTATTATTCTAATTCTAACTACTAAGGTTCCTATATTATGGTTTTGGGGTGAGAGTTCAGGGCGGTGTTGGAGCTTTCGAGGCCTTTGAGGCCTGTAGGCATTTACGGCTTCGGGATTGGTTTGGGTTCCGTTGCTTGGAGGGTCGGGGGACTTAGTAAGTAGGTAAGTAGACTTATAAGTACCCTGAAAGGGACCTTAATTGGGGTTATGGTACTTATAAGTACCGAAAATAGCCGGTTACTAAGTCCGCCGACCCTCCAAGTGGGGGCCTGTGGGATTCGGGGTGCATGTTTGGTGGCACGGCTGAGAGTTAACAGGCGCCAACAGATAGAACTACGTGAACGTTTAGGGTATAGGGGTTTAGGGTTTAGGGGTGCCTGTCTGTCTATTTGTCACTTTGTTTGTTTATGTATCTATCGATCTATCTTCCTATCTATCGGTCTTTCTATCTACCTGTATCTATCTGTCTGTGTATACTTCTGATTATCTGTGTCTATCTATCGATCTGTCTCTGGCTGTCTCTGTCTGTCTGTCCGCGTGCCCATCTGCCTATCTGCATCTCTCTCTCTCTCTCTCTCTCCCCCTCTCTCTCTCTCTCTCTCTCGATCCGTCTATTCATCTATCTATCTATCCATCCATCTATACTACTATTTGCTTAAGAAACCACCAAAAAATAAAAATAATAATCCCTATATTACCCCAATAAGGAATATATTTTTTATTTTTTGGGGGCTCTTAAGCAAATAGTAGTATATGTGCATCTTTGTGTCACCGTGTCTGTCTCTCTGTCAATCTGTCTACCTGTCTATCTATCGACGTATCTAACTATGTACGCATCTATCTACCTTTCTTTCTGGGTGGCTTGGTGTCCAGAGGACGCGCCTCGTGCTCGTCTAAATTCAAGTGAAACGGGAAAAGAAAGCAGCGAGTCCTTACTCGCGGGCCGTAAAAAGGCCACGCGAGCGTTTCTCAAAACCGCTTTCGACAGCCCAAGAGGTCAAGGGCTCTAGGCAACGGAGTGCAGCCCCAGAGGCAAGGAAGCTGGCAGGGGAGGAGGCGGACGCCTGGAAGAAAGCGCCGAGACTGTCACAGGCCTGCTCCAGCCAAGCAAAATGCCGACGAGCACAGGCGAGAGGTACACTTGCCTGGAACGGATAAACCATAGAAGGCAGAGGTGGCTCATCGAGCCTGAACGTGGCCTCGGGACCCGTCAGAACAAAGGAACAGCGACAGGCCTTCGGCGGTGCCAGTGCCGCACAGACCGCCTGCTGCTGTCTGCCTGCTTTGGGTCTGCGAAAGTCATCGCACCACAACTCCGGATCAAGAAGAAGAGCGGCATCAGAGGCGCACTCAGCACATCCTGGCTGCGCATGCTCATGGACCGCCCACGCTTCAAGAGTAGCCTTCAAGACAGACAACGGTTCGACGAAGTCGACGACTGTACTCCAGACAAGGTCGGGGTCAAGAGCAGGAAGGCGAAGCAAGGCCTCAAGAAGGCCGGGGTGGATGACAGAAGCGTCAACACTAACAGGCCCCGCGCCAATTTCCCCAGGGAGCAGACAGGGTGGTCGCTGCTCATGGAGAGCCGGGAGCGTGCAAGGAGTTCCCCCCTCAAACTGGAAGGCGCCCCACCGCGTGCGGCACACCGCAGCATGGAGCAGATGACGCCGAAGTCGGTTGTGATTGGCTTAAAGGCGACCGCAGCCTGCACAGAAGGGGGTAGATCTATCTACCTATCTATCTGTCCATATTTAGGAGCCCCCAATCCCACCGCCACCGAACCGATTCTCGGTTCAGGACTCATTATGTCTCTGTCGTGTCTACCTCACAGTCGCGGATTCTCCTCGCACATCGCCGCGCTGCACTTTTACGTCGGCGCCGTTTGAGCAATGAGCATCCACATCCGGTGTCAAGCCATGGAACATCCTGTCGATGTGCTTGAAATTCTAGGTCGGTCTATGTCACAAAGTTGCGTGTAAGCTAGGTCCCGAATCGCTCATACGGTCGAATCGGGTGGCTGGCTGGAGTAATGTTTAAAAACTTGAATAGAAATCAGACGAGAATAAGACAATAGTAGCAACGATTCCTGGATTTCGTGGCTTACTAGCTTGTGCACTGAATGCGCCGGCTTACTCCCCGATTCGAGTTGAAGGTTCTCCGGATTGCGAACCCATGGGTTCATAAGTTAAGGCAGTACCGTCGTTCCACATGTCGCGCCTCTCGTTAGTGTGGTCTCAAAAAAACGCCACGACGATTCGTTGTTTAACCTTACTCCATTGGAAACCACAAGAATTCTTCGAGTTCACGAAATTCGCCGATTAGGAGCTGTAGCCCGAGCATTCCTTCAGGAACCAATTATGCGGTTCAAGGGGCTTCTGTACGGGATCCAAAGTGAAAGCCCCATGCTCCAAGCCTCAAGGGGTTTAGTAGGGTTTAGTTTACCTTACCCCCAAATAACCTCCTTCTTCAGGACCCTTTTTCAGGACTTATAGAAAGAAATCATATTAGGGAACCCTAAAAAGGAAGGTACGTTGGGTTCAGGGACAGCTTATAGGATTTGGGGCCTCTACGGTTCCGAGTCATATAGTCACTTAAGCTTCGACTGTGTCTTCACATAGAGCGTAAGGGCACTCTGCGTCTATGTGCAGGAAGGCCACAAACGGCGCGACGCACCCCGGAGGAGTGGGAAACCCTAGCCAAAGGGGCCAAAGTACCTGTATAGTAGAATGTACGGTTTCTCTATGTAGGCATTGATTGCTATTATGATTTGGGAAAGTATCCCCCATAACAGTAATAATTACCAAGGACGCTTTGGGTAAGGGCCTCAACCCTAAAACTCCGGAGCCCGTAAACCCGATGCTCTAGCCATGCACCCCAAACCCCAACACCTAAACCCTAATCCCAAATTCTTATAGATCCCCTTAAAGGAACCCCTACAACCCCTTTTGAAAGAGCCCCAAACCCCTACACCTCAACCCTATACCCGAAGCCCTGCAAGACCTAAAGCCCTAAACCATCCTAGATCCTTCAAAGGAACCCCTAAGGCCCGAAGGCCCCTTTCAAAGAGCGCCGGAACCCCTACACCCTACTAGGAGGGTCGGGGACTTAGTAAGTAGGTAGTAAGTAGACTTATAAGTACCCTAAAGGGGACCCTAATTGGGGTTATGGTACTTATAAGTACCTAAAATAACCAGTTACTAAGTCCCCCGACCCTACACCCTAAGCCCCCAAAAAAGGAGATGGAAGTTGAAGCTTTCGGAGCTGGGCTGTCGAGCTGAAGACCGGTGCAAGATCTGGAACCCCCAACGTACCCTAGCAGTAGTAGTAGTAGTAGTAGTAGCAGCAGCAGAAATAATGATAAGAATAATAGTAGCAGAAGTAGAAGTAGAAGTAGAAGTAGTAGAGTAGGTAATCTCTAGACTCTAACCTTTTTGGGGAGGCACTATAGCCCTCATGATCACGACCCCCAAAGTACAAGCATTGGGGGTGGTGAGTCGATGGGTTTGTCTGGGTAGAACGAAGGGTAGTTGGAGTTTGTAGGGATATGTGATTCGAAAAGGTGCAGGTGTCAATTTCTCATGCATTCTACCAAAACGCTTTCGAGAAAGGTGTGAAGCTTTCTGGCTTGGCACAAGAGCCCTCCTTGCTGCGATGGGGGCTGTGCGTCGACCCCCCGGGGGAGGTAGTCGGATTTTGTGTTTGATATTCAGATGTCTTGGACGGTTCATGTAGTCATAGAACCCACAGGGCCCTAAGTACCTGCATGGGGGCCAACTGCCCAAACCACAATTGTAATTCCGACAACAGACAACTCCTACTTTGGCTATCTCTATGTCCATACAGCGATTGCCAGTCTAGCACCACATGTCATTAGTGAAGTGAAACATGACGTTCTGAATTCTTTCTGCACGACAGGTCGGTCTAGGCTAAGCGATACGTCATAGTCAAGACTTGAAAAGTTTAGTCTACGCGTTACGCTATCGCCAAGAGTTGAAGTTTTGGACTTGGAGCTCGGGCGAGCCTTCGTGCACACTACGGACCATGTGCAATTTCCGGAGACACCAGGCATAGGCGCATCGAAACCCTGAATCGCCAGAGATGTAGAGCTGTTTTAATAACCATGTAGTTTTGTTGTACAGCCTTGTGCAAGAGTTTGGCAGTGTTCCGAACTTACAGGTTTTCGTCTTCTACCAAGATCATAAACCGCCCAGCACCCCCTGAAGGAATGCGGCAACACTTATGTAAGGACTCTTTTTGGGATTACCCCAGATGCCTTCTTCCCACCCTTGGTGCCCTGGGAGGATATCGGCGTGTTTGAAGTCAGATCTGAACGAGCTGAAAATCTCCATGCGGGATGGGCTCACTCTCCAGAGGCGAACTGGGGAAGTACCTATAGTCTCCATTGTAGTTCCTTTTTTTGGTCTAACCAAATATATATTAAGGATCCTATAAGGTAACCCAAAAAAGGAACTACAATGGAGACTGTAGGTAATATATAGGGCGGATTCATTAGATGAGTGGGGCACGTTATATGGTAATTGTCATTATGTTGGGTAGTTCTCTAAACTAGTCTCCGATTTCTAAATCTCCAAGCAAGTGCGGCGCCCTTATGAAAAGCACCTGAAAAGGGAGCCTAAAAAGAGAACCACCACATATCAAGGCCTCCGACAACTGGGTCTCCCAGACTCCCTGTTTGTGTTTTTGTTTATATATTCGGTCCCGTATAAAACTACCCAAATCAAAAAAGGGAGCCCTCTCTCCTCCTAGGCTCCTGGGGATCCTCGAGAAGGAAGTAGGTCGTTGAGCTTTCGAGGTTTTGGCGCTTGAGGTTTGAGGGCTTTGGGCGGTTTTTGGGTTGAGTTTAGGATTCAGGGGGCCTGGGTAGGCCTTTGGGACATTTTACATTTTCCCTTATTGGGCTTAATAGGACCCTATTTACGATTGCATGTTTCAGAGGCTTTAAAGGGCCAACCTAGGGGCGCGGATATAGAGCCCTTTAAAGGAACCCTTATAGTACCCTTATAGAAACCCTTTAAAGGGACCCCAACGTACCCCTAATTTTCGGAGAGGGCGCGGCATTCTGCTCAACATCCCGAGCCCGAGCAGAACCTCTTTGCCCTTTCTCTGCCCTGCGAGAATGCTTGAACTTAGGGGTAAATAGAAATAGTTTTTAATTTTTGGTTAATATAATCCCTAAGAAACAGCTAATATTTGATCAGGGCGAGGAGAAGGCTAGGGCCCTACCCTATAGTGGGCTATATAATGGGTATATAATATCTATTTTAAGGGTAGGTAAGGGATCTATATGGTTTCGAAGTAGAACCCCATAAAGTTGGAAACCTGGTCAAGCCCAAATGGTGCTGGGATTCCCTATACATTACTCTTAAGGATGGAGGCTATGGGGTTTCCAACTTTTGGGCTTCTACTGTAGGGCAAGGGAACCGCACATACTACAGAGCAGCACACTTGTCCCGACATGCAATGCCTAAAGTGCGAGACAAGAGGGCTCGCAACTGTGTTCGCTTTGATTACGACAGTCCTGATTCCTCATCTCTTGATCGTCAGCAGCATGGAGGGTCGTCTTCACTGTACCATCAATTAGACATGTCCCCCTTGTCAGTGCCCACAGCCACGCCCAGAATCACCATCAGCATCGGTTCATCATTCTTCAATGCAAGTACATATGAATGTCTGGTCCATATCAGTGGTGACCATGACCATCCCTACCACCTCATCGTGATTGTCACCTTGTACATCACCATGGTCAAACTTTTGTTTCGCATTATTATTCGTCTCATTGATGTTATCTTATTCATTCGTGCTGAAACCTTTGTCACCATCATCATCATCCTCGTCCTGATGCTCATCCTCATCCTCCTCCTCATCACCATCACCATCATCACCATCATCATCACATTATTCTCATTCGTCTTTCACATCACAGTCATCATCGCAGTCATCAACATCATCACCACCGTCATCATCGCCAGCTTCGTCTGCAACATCGCAGCCATCGGGATCATCAGCAGCAGCATCACCAGCACCGCCATCATCATCTTCGCCATCGCAGACGTCATCAATATCACCATCACCAACTGCAGCATCACCATCGCCATGACAGTCGCACCAGCATCATCACCCATCCTCATCCGCAGTATCAACACAAACACTTGGTGTAGTGACAGCCATGAAGATCTGCGGCTGACGGGTGCTTCAGGTTTTGCATTGCCATCGTCCGTGTGAAGCCTGTCCATGTTGTGACCTCGGAGGATTTGAAAACGCATTCCGGGTTAATCCGAGAATTGTACATGTAGTAGGGCAGGCTGATTGAGCTGGGTTTAGCCACTGATGGAGCATGCCGCTTTTGTTAATGTTCGCATGTAGGGTTGTGAGCCTGTAGGACTGCAACTGGTGTTCGTAATTATTCAGGACCTTTATTGGAGCCCTTCACCTTAGCCTTGCGTGCCGAAAGTATCAACCCTGGACAACCTTTTAGGCAAAAGTTTAGGGAATACTTTTCTTCATCCGCTGATCCTTTATGTAGACCCTAATTAAACGCCTAAGCCCTTGGCCCTAAACCCGAAAAAATCCCTAAACCCTGCATCATCCCCCAAACCCTAAACCTTTCATCCTCCATCCCTACACCCTAAGTCCCGAATTCCTGAAATCCTCAGCCTTTTTCCCAAACAACAAAAACCCTCAAACCCTCAAAATCTTACATCCTCTCAAGACCCCCCAAGTAATTACAGATCCCCTTAAAGGAACCCCCAGCACCCCCCTTTTTTCAGGAACTCCTAAAAGCAAACCCTATAGACCCTAACCCTCGAGATCCTCAACCCTAAATCCTAAACCCTCTCTAAATCCTAAATCCCAAACCCTCAAAATCCTAAACTCCTAAACCCTCAACACCCGAAACCCTAAAGAATCCGAAATCCTCTCAAGACCCCCCCCAAGTAACTACAGATCCCTTTAAAGGAATCCTACATCCTCAAGTATATTTCCCTTTAGAGGAATCCTAAATCCTCAATTATACATCCCTTTAAAGGAATCCTACATCCTCAAGTATAGTTCCCTTTAAAGGAATCCTACATCCTCCATTTTTTAGGTCCCTTTGAAGGAATCCTAAATCCTCAATTATAGTTAAATTAAAGGAATCCTAAATCCTCTCCTTAAATCCTCCGTTTTTTAGGTCCCTTTGAAGGAATCCTAAATCCTCCATTTCTTAGGTCCCTTTGAAGGAATCCTAAATCCTCAAGTATAGTTCCCTTTAAATTAAAGGAATCCCAAATCCTCAATTATAGTTCCCTTTAAACCTCAAGTATAGTTCCCTTTGAAGGATCCTAAATCCTCAATTATACATCTCTTTAAAGGAATCCTACATCCTCAACTAGAGTTCCCTTTAAAGGAATCCTAGACCCTCAATTATACATCCCTTTAAAGGAATCCTAAACCCCCGGAAGGGGACAGTGGTCTGAGGTTCTGGAGATGCGAAAGTCAGTTCGGCCTCTGAGCCGAGACCTCGGAAGTAATCACGTTTAGGGGTTTACCTATAGTCTCCAGGGTTCCGGGTTTAAGGTTTAGGGGTTTAAGGCTTAGAGGGAGGAGGTTAAGGGTTTGTGGGGGTTTGGGGTTTAGGGTTTGTGGGGGTTTGGGGTTTAGGGGTCAGAGTTTAGGGTTTAGGGTTTGTGGGTTTGGGGTTTAGGGTTCAGGGTTTGGGGTTTAGGGGTCAGAGTTTAGGGTTTAGGGTTTGGGGGTTTAGGGGTCAGAGTTTAGGGTTTGGGGGTTAGGGGTTTGGGTTTAGGGTCTACCTATAGTCTGCATTGTAGTTCCTTTTGTTGGGTCTAACCAATTTTCTATGAAGGATCCTTAAAGGTAACCCCCAAAAAGGAACTACAATGGAGACTATAGGTAGGGCTTGATGGTCTAGAGTTTAGGGTTTTGGGTTTTTAGCTTCGGGGTTGAGGTCTAGGGCTTCGGGTTCCTACTATTTGCTTAAGAAACCCCCAAAAAATAAAAAATAATAATCCCTATATTACCCCCATAAGGAATATATTTTTTATTTTTTGGGGGTTCTTAAGCAAATAGTAGGTTCAGAGTTGGAGGTTTAGGGTTTAGAGTTTAGGAGTTTAGAGTTCAGAGCTCTAGGATTTCGGAGTTTACGGTTCGTGTTTGTAGTGACATTGTTAGGTATTCAGGAGCTCCTTTACAGTTTTTTTGGGGGTTCCTTGAAAGCGATTTACAAGGGTTTAGGGTTTTAGGTTTTAGGGCATCGTTTTTCAGTTTAGAGGTTCATGATACGGGTTTACGGGTTCATGGTTTAGGGTTTCAGGTATTCTTGCGTTTAGGGGTTCGGGGTTTTGGGGGGTGATCTAACAGGGGTTTCAGGTTATTTGAGGTGATTTAGATCATACTGCGCAGACGTCATGGGACAGTGGTTTAGTACCTAAAAGCTCATACCCTACCCCGTTTTCAAGGTACCTACTTTTCCAATATGTATAGGACATCAAAAGCATAAACCTAGGTACCCTAGAAAGGGGTAGGGTATGACCCTCTAGGTAGCTGTCGTTACAGCCATTGTCGCAATGGTTCGTAGTCTTTGCCGCCTCCTGGTTTATGATAAGGACCCTTAGAAGCATAGTCGGGAGGGGGGTAGGGGGCCTTATTACCTATAATCAGCACGTACCCAGGCCTGCTTAAGGAAGTATAGTTCTCTACCCCCTCTTCCCTACCGCCCTCAGGGTCCCTATGAGTTTACATCGAAGCAAGCAGTCAATGTCGTGGTCGTCATCGCCGTATCTACTGTCGTCGTCGCCGGTTTTTTGGTAATGATAGTGGAATGAGAGCGGTGCCCCAGGTCCTATACTGTAGGGCATATCTCAAGGTGAGTGCTATGAATCACATATTCTGAACTACAAAGCTTGCGATTTGGACTAGTTCTAGACCCCACCCCCCTCGGCTAACACTCCATACCCGGCCAACCTTAAGAACCTCAACCCAAGAAATTGACACTGAAAACCTAAACCCAGAAATCCCGTAGCAGCCATGTCTGAAACAGGCGAGGAAGGTGGCAAGAAGATGGTCCAGGAGCCACTTCTCGTGTGAGTGCTCCCAAAGGGTCCAGGTACTGTTATGGGGGATACTTTCCCAAATCATAATAGTAATATACAAACCCTACATTCTACTATATAGGTACTTTGGACCCTTTGGGGCATTAAGGCTACCACACCCGAAACCCCCTACATAAACCTATAAAGCCTCCACACTCCCTAAACGCACTAAACCGTGTTAAGCGTCTATAGGGTCAAAGGAGAGCTCCCAAAATCCCTTAATTAAGGAATACACCTTAAACTAGAATAGGATCCCCAATATGATTTAAGGTATATTCCTTAATTAAGGGATTTTGGAAGGTCTGGGGAGAGCCCCCTTAGTTTCAGACATGTCATGCGCTTTGGCTTGATTTGCTCGGGTAGGGGTTTGGGATCCAGATACTACCTAGAGGCTCATACCCTACCCCTTTTCAGGTTACCTAGCTGCTTTGTCTAAATAACAGATCTTAACGAAAAAACTAGGTACCATCAACACGGGGTAGGGTATGAGCCTACAGGCATGTTCTGAATGGATCTTGGTACCGGAAAACTTAGTTACTTGGGCCTTACACTGGGGTTTTGCGCTTCGCCTGTCGTGAGCCAGCTGGGTTTGGGGTTTGTAGTTTAGTTTAAGGGTTCCTTTAAGGGGTTCTTAATCCTAGGTTTGTATTGGGCTTGGGTTTGGAGGTTAAGGGCTATTGAGCGTTTAAAAACGCTCTCAGGGTTTTTAGAGGTTTTATGGCCGGCTCTGCATCTCGAAGCTATCACGAACCTTACTTCCTGTAAAGTCAACAGGCCACCGAAAAGCCTGAACACCTCCCAGAAAGTCAGAAATTCTGAAGCCCTAACCCGCACCCCGCTCCAAAAGCCACATGTTTCCAACAGCAGGGACCTTGAGAGGCAGAATAGGGTTTTGGGGTACATGAGGCTATACTTAACCCTGAACCCCTAAACCCTGAACCCCTAAAATCCTGAACCCCTAAACCCTAGAAATGTTGGTAAGTATTTAGGCTTCTACATTACGCTTCAACCCCTAAACCCTAAACCTCTATAGACCCCTTATGAATCCCTAAAAGGATGCTTTAAAGGAGCCCTTACAGGATACTGTGTTCAGGCTTCTACGTTATCTAAAACCCCTAAACCCGTAAACCCCCATGAAACCCCTTAAACCCTAAACCCCTAAATCCACCAAACGCCCCAACACCCTCATCCCGTATAGATCCCTTTAAGGAACCCCTAAAACCACCCCAAAACACCAAACCCTAAACCCTAAAACCCACAACCCTCATAGAACCCTTTACAGGAATCCCCAAAACCACGCTAAACCCTAAGCTCTAAACCCTAAAACCCATAACCCTTGTAACCCTAGCCCCCTAACCCTTTATAGAGCCCTTTCAGGGAATCCCCTAAACCCCCCTTTACAGAGCCCTTTAGGCCTCTACTACCTAAACCCCTATAGATCCTTTATGAATCCCTTAACGGATCCCTTAAAGGAACCCTTAAAGGATACTGTATTTAGGCTTCTACGTTACCTAAAACCCCTAAACCCTTAACCCCTCATGAAACCTCTTTAAACGCCCTTTAGGCCTCCACAATTTAGCAGGATCTGCTGTGGAACTCGGCGCTTATGGCCTCCTCGGATGAGGCGGGCGCTGGTTGCGGTTTAGGGTTTAGGATTTAGGGTTTAGGGGTTTAGGGTTTAGGATGTAGGGTTTAGGATTTAGGGTTTAGTTGCAATGGCTTCGTGGCTTTTGTTGTGTTTACTTTAAAAGGGGGGTTTAGGGGATTCCCTTAAAGGGGTCTATAAAGGGTTTAGGGTTATAAGGGTTATAAGGGTTATGGGTTTTAGGGTTTAGGGTTTGGGGTTTAGGTGGGTCTGGGGGACTCCTTTAAAGGGGTCTACATAAGGGTTATGGGTTTCAGGTTTTAGGGTTTGGGGTTTAGGTCGTTTTAGGGATTCCTTTAAAGGGGTCTATAAGGGTTATGGGTTTCGGGGTTGAGGGTTCGGGGTTTAGGGTGATATTAGGGATTCCTTTAAAGGGGCGTCTATACTGGCTAAGGGTTTTAGGGTTTAGGGTTTGGGGTTTAGGGTCGGGGCTGGCTCTATTGCTTCGAAAGGGGTTTTACTGACCCTAAACTATAGGGCTCCAGTTTCCTAGGTGCTGGGTTACCGGGTATCATACTAGATGGTTAGTAACCTACCATATATATATGGTAGCTGGAGCCCTAGAGTGAGGTTACCGGGTATCATACTAGATGGTTAGTAACCGTAGTAACCTACCATATATTCAGGTAGCCGGAGCCCTAGAGTGAGGTTTTCGAAGCCTTATTGAAACCAACAGCCCAGCGGATCCACAAAGGCTAGAATTATGGAAATATTCTTCCCCAAAGACCATCCTTGCTTTGGGTTTAGGGACCTCGTTCCATCACAGTTTGTTTTGTTATCTCTCTCTCTGTCTCTCTCTTTCCCTCTCCCTCTCTCTGATATAAACATGGACCTTCTCGGTTGGTGAGCATTCCATGTGTTATGTGGTTGAGTGGTTTGGGGTGATAATGTTCTCAGGTCATTTCCAAGCACTTCCGCCGGGGGTGAGCCCCAGACCTTCCAATACCCCTTACTTAAGAATGCAGAAGCCTGATTAAGAAACCTTAGGCGGCCTTTGTTAGGGTTCCTTATATGTATCATGTATCCTACTTGTTTTGGGGCTATAGGTGCAGTGGTTCTTAATCAGGTTCCTGTTACCTTAAGCCGTAATTCGGATCCTACAATAGACTCACCTGTATTCCGTACTTAAGGGACCTGGGAAGGTCTGAGTTGGGTAGCGAACACTGACAACTGCGCAAGCACATAACCAGTACCATTCCCGAAGCATCGGTGTGCTTTCATCGTACGGTTAGGAGTTGCGTTGGTTATTTGGCCTCGGCTGAGACAGTGAAGTCTAAAAGTGGTGCAACAAGCTGCATGAAAACCCCAGTGCTTGGTCGCAGGTGACTGCAGAAGGATCCAACAAGTGCCGGCTGATCTGACAACTCCTCAGCACAATCCGGCTTCATGGGATCCGTTATCTTCGAGAGTCGGGTTTCTTGGGTTTAGGAGTACTCGCCTTGGCTCTCTTGCGCATGTGCGGGTTTTGCTTTAACCCCTTCCGGATTTTCGGGCTTCAGTCCTTTCAGGGCTGTGGCATCGGATGTAGGTCTGTTGCTCCGACACCCGACTTTTAAACCTTGTTGAGTTAATGTAGGAACCTGCTTAAGAAACCCTGGGCCTATCATCCCAACACAGTACGGTTCATATAACGGTCCCTAATGGAGGCCCAAGGTTCCTTAATCAGGTTTCTACATTATTGTCTGCTTGTATTGGGCAAGCCCGAGCCCTGTCCCTATACTGATCCGCATCCGAAGGCTGCCAGGACTGAGAGTTGAGGGTTGCGGGGCAACACCGACCAGTATGGAGGCGCCCACTATACCCAGACCTTCCAAAATCCCTTAATTAAGGAATATACTATACCTTAAATTATAATAGGATCCCTAATATGATTTAAGGTATATTCCTTAATTAAGGGATCTTGGAAGGTCTGGGTATAGAGGCCTGACCCACCCAGAGGCTCCATAGTAGCTCCTTTTCGGGATTACCAAAAAGGATTCTATATACGAACCGCCGAAAGGAACTACTTTGGGGCTTGTGGGCAATAATCACCTGTACTACTAATGCCCCTCTACTAGCTAATCATCAATACTGTTCCCGAGTATGGCTCTGATAAACCCTTCCCCGGACTCTCAAAGATCTTGCCGTTTTGAGGATTGCAAGGAAATCATAAGAAGGAGTTCTATAGAGACAGGATATTTTGGGCTCGGGTAAGCCCTAAACTCATAGCTAGAACATCCAAGTCGCCAACTTCGCTGACTAAGGCCCGCTGACACACGAGCGGATTCATACGCCTGTTCGGGGAGAAAGGCGGGCCAAGTTTGGATCAGAGATACGGATGATGATATAAATCCTGCATTACCCCTAAGAAAAGAAGGAATATACCATAATTCCCATAGTTTAGGGTCCTTAAGGTAATGCAGGATTTATATCATCACCCGTAGCAGCCCATTGGGATGCCCCGTAGGGGATCTTTCAAAAGGGATCCAGTACAGGGTTCCTCCTTTAAGGGTGCGCTTGAAGGCTTCCTTCAAGGGGTCCTACGGTTGATGATATAAATCCTGCATTACCTTAAGGACCCTAAACTATGGGAATTATGGTATAGTCCTTATTATGGGTAATGCAGGGTTTATATCATCAACAGTAGCAGCGGTCCCTGAAGCCTTAAGCCTGTAGTAAAAACCCAGAGCTTCCAATATCCTGGAAGTAAGGAAGATATCTTAAACCGTAGTAGGAACTTTAGAAAATGACTCCACGGTGTCCCTTGTAGAAAATTACGGGTATATTCCTTACTTAAGGGATTAAGGGATATTGGAAGGTTTGGGAACACCCAAAAAGCTGAACCAGCCCCTTCAGTACCAGACCCTGAGCCCCAACTCCATTTGTATTTGCCCAAGTGGTCCCAAGGCTAAAGCCCTTCACAAACAAAAACATAGGGTTTAGGGTTTAGGATGGTTTAGGGTTTTTTGGGCTTTGTGGTTTGGGGTTGAGTTAGGCGTCTTAGCCCTCCGACGGCCAGGTGTGCCCACTTGCAGTGCTTTGACCTCAAGGTGGGTGGCCCCTGGGTGCTGGCTATGCCTGGGTTGACTAATGTACAAGTCCTTGAGAAGGAAAGTCATTTAGTCTTCTGGTGTGGGTTTGGGCGGAGGGGGGGGGGGGGGGGGAGGGGGAATTGAAGTTTGTGACTTGCAGTAAGAATTGCAGTAGTAGTAGTAGTAGTAGTAGTAGTAGTAGTAGTAGTAGTAGTAGTAGTGGTAGTGGTAGTGGTAGTGGTAGTGGTAGTGGTAGTGGTAGTGGTAGTGGTAGTGGTAGTGGTAGTGGCAGCAGCAGCAGCAGGAGTAGGAGTAGGAGTAGTGGTAGTAGTAGCAGTAGCAGAAGCTATAGCACCAATTGGAAGTAGAGTACTCGTAGTCGTGGTGGTACGTACGGATAGCACTAAGATCGGCAGAAGTGCCTGCAGCAACAGTCGTGTCAGTATTATTGCTACTATTGGCAATATGCGTAGTAGCAGTCGTCGTCGTCTGTAGCAGCAGCAGCAGCAGCAGCAGCAGAAGTGTAGTAGTAGTAGTAGTAGTAGTAGTAGTAGTAGTAGTAGTAGTAGTAGTAGTAGTACTAGTACTAGTAGTAGTACTAGTACTAGTACTAGTACTAGTACTAGTAGTAGTACTAGTAGTAGTACTAGCGGTAGTAGCAGCAGTAGTAGTGTTAGGAGAAAAAGTAGTAGTAGCAGCATAGCAACACCTATCGCCTGCAGTTGTCCTCAGCTTACGAGAAACAAGAAGAACGTCGACGCTAACAGACCCCACAGCCCTCAAACCGACTGTCATGGCAGACTCTGCGCGCTGTCTGAAACCCTACTCCCAAGTCAAACGCAAGATAAAGCTCCAAACGCCTTTCCTGGGGCTTTGAAGGAGTCTGTCAATGCTGGTATCCGTCTGGGATGCTTTTACTGACCGTTTAGGGCTATGGGTATCGGTTTGGGCTAAGGGCTTGGATGCAGGCCTACATCGAGATCAACAAGAACATGGCTGCTTTCAACAAGCGCTGGTGCCCTGCCACAGACTGGGTTTGATGGTATCAAGCTTTCAGCGGAAAACCGGAACACAAACCCCAAACCCTAAACCCTAAACCCTAAACCCTAAACCCTAAACCCTAAACCCTAAACCCTAAACCCTATAACCCTAAACCCTAAACCCTAAACCTCCAGGAACATACTCTGCAACGCAACCTTGCGGCCGACGTCTTCAAACACACATTGCGCATTTCTCGAATGGGCAGCTTCAACCTAGGCCCTCCATCTACCCTCTATTAGACCCTAAATGCCCTTTATTTGGGACCATATACCCCTATTTGAGGGTACAAGGAGGGTCCTGGAAAGTGCTAGTTTCTGCTGTCTCGGTTCTTTGTCTTGACCTTGCGCTGTCACGAACTTCCCAACTTTTCACCACATCCCCCCAAAAAGTCTACCTATAGTCTCCAGTGTAGTTCCTTTTTTTGGTTCAACCAGTCTTATATTAGGGATCCTAAAAGGTATTTAGTAGATACTTAAACCTTAAAGGGATCCCTATATAGGTACTTTAAGGCCTAAGTATATGCCTAGATGGCTACATGGAGCCTTAGGGTTCATCACCCCCAAAAGAGTGCCGTGGATTTGGATGGAGGCTATTGTGGGAATTAGGATTAGGGGGACCCTTGGGGATATATAGACCCTCTCAATAAGGCCCCTTTTAAGAGAGCCAGAAGTAGGGTTCAGAAGGGGTACCCTTTAAGGGGTCTCCCTAATAATACTACCTCTATTGGGCGTTGCGGTTCAGCTCAGTCTTCGGAGTTTGGGCTTGAGGGTTTCCCGGGCTTCGAGGGTTTAGGGTTTAGGGTTCAGGGCTTAGGGCTTAGGGCTTGTAGGGTTTAGGGTTAGGCTGCAGGTTTCACGGTTCAAGGATGTCCGCTTACGGAATCCGAGTTCAGAGTACATCTCATATCTCCTTCGCCAAAATCCCGTAAAGACTCTAAACCTGCAACTAGCATCCCCAAAAGCCCAAACCTTGTTCCGAATGCTAAGCCCTCAGCTTTACGAGCCCTAAACCCTAGACACAAAACTGAGCCCTGAGCCCATAAAACTCCCTCCATTGCACTCTACCTATAGTCTCCAATGTAATTCTTTTTGTTGGGGTTACCTTGTAGGATCCTTAATATATAGCTGGTTAAACCAAAAAAGGAACTACAATGGAGACTATAGGTAACTCCAAGACTCTCGATTCCGAGGCCCCTACCGATTGAGGGTATAGGGCCTATAGGGTTTAAAAATTCAACCTTAAGCTATCTAGCATTAAACGAGGCTAGACCGGAGACCCGCAAGAGTACGCCGTGAGCAAGGTCCGCAGGATAGAGGTTGTAAAGAGTTGTTTCAAACCTTGCGATATCCTTGAGGAGCCCCTCAAGAAGCCCCCTTGAGCTAAGCAATATCGGGGCCTGAATAAGAATTACCAATACTATTGCGGGGGCTCCTTATAATATTTTAGTACGATAGGCCCCAAGACAATTTTGTAATTATTAAGGCCCCTATATTAAGCCTTTGAGCTATCCTCAAAGAGCCCTGTAGAAGACCAGGACCTGCCCTGTCTGTGGGCTCCTGTGCAAGCCCTCGGACTTGTTCTTGGCTCCTCGGTTTGTCGTTTGCTCTTCCTAGGAGGGACACGAGGGGGGAAGCGGTTGGGGGTTTTGAGTTTTAGGTTTTGGGGCCTGGTATGTGAGTTTCCGAAAATTAGAGTACCTTATATTGGGGTCCTTATAATGAGGGTCCTACTATTTAGGGTACTATATTAGGGTCCCCTATTGTCGGAAACTCCCGTATGGTGGGAGTTCGTGCTTCTAGGTTGAGCTGGAGACAGTAAGCCCTTCGCCGATCATGAAACACCTATAGTCTCCAATGTAATTATTTTTTGGGGGTTACCTTTAAGGATCCTTAACATAAAGTTGGTTAAACCAAACAAAGGAACTACAATGGAGACTACAGGCAGTATTCAGAATCATCGCGTTGTTGTGCAACTAGGCTTCGTTCCGTTTCAAACCCAAACTGAGGGGCTGACTAGGTAACCTTTAATCTGTACTTTGTCATAGTGGGGTAACTTATTGCATTTTTATGGATACTTTAACCCAATAAGGGATATAAAATTTAGATGTTTAATCCTATCCCAGCCATGAACTAGTGTAATTCAACCGGTTAACCTTTCTTGGGCTAGGGTACTCAGCGGGTTTTGGCGCGAGTTTCTGGGATATACCTATAGTCTCCATTGTAGTTCCTTTTGCGGGTTACCTTATAGGATCCTAATCATATATTTGGTTAAGCCAACAAAAGGAACTACAATGGAGACTCTAGGTAGACCCTCAACCCAAACCCCTAACCCCCAAACCCTCAACCCTAAACCCTGACCTCTAAACCCTCAACCCTAAACCCCAAAATCTGCAAACCCTAGCCGCGACTTCGAGTTTCTGGGAGATAGAGCCCCAGAACCGAGCAAGTGGGACCCACCCCTTTCTGGCAGGACAGCCTTGCACGGTCGACTCATTGAGTCGTTTGGATTGGGCTCTGACTAGTTTGAGGCCTCAATATAAAACCGTCAGTAGGAAAAAAGGGGTACCTTATAAACTGGCTCCCCAGGAACCCAGACTCTACATGGAAGTTTCCGAAAATAGGGGACCCTGACTAGGATGCCCAGTAGTACCCTTATTCCCTTTTTGTAGTCCTAGGTTCCTTATAAAGTTACGCAATACCAAAAGGAGAGGCCTTTTTATTCTTAGGTTACTGGGTATCCTAGTTTTTGTTTCACAAGGCTTTAGGCTGAGGGTTTAGTAGGGCTTCCCTATAGTCTCAATTGTGGTTCCTTTTCTTGGTTTAACCAGTTATATATTAAGGATCCTATAAGGTAACCCCAAAAAAGGAATTACAGTGGAGACTTTAGGTAGGGTTTAGGGCTTAGGGTTTAGGATTTAGGGCTTATGTTGTTTTGGTGGCTGCAACTTAGATCTCCGAACATGGGTTCTGGAAACTTCGGGGCTCTTCTTACCTTTGGTTAGTAGGGAACGGAGGAATGGGGTAGAATTATAACTACTATTTCTACCACTCTTCCATTCCCTACTAACCAAAGGTAAGTCTTAGAAGCTTCCAGGATTCTGGAGGTCAGGTCCGTCCTTTCGGTATGAGGAAGTGAGGTTTAAGGTTTGAATTTTCAGGGTTTTTAGTGCTTTAGGGTTTAGGGTTTGGGGTTTAGCGCATTTTGCACTTCCAACCTCCATGGGGGTCCATGCGCGTTTGAACAAGGGAGCCGCGAATGTGCAGTACGATTCCTTTTGCAACTCCTCTGTGATCTAAAGCCACAGTAGGTAGTTTGGAATAGGCTTGCGCTCTTTGTGTTCTTTCAACACTGTGCAGCTTTGCTGAAATCAAGATTAGCCACCATTTTCGATCAAGCCGGCCCTCGCCCTAAACCCTAACTTGCACACCCCAAACCTGAACCCTACACCCTTTATATACGCCTCAAACTAGAAATCCTGAAGCGCTAAGCCTTCCTTAGCCCCATAAGATACATACACTTTAGGGTTCCTGATTGGGACAGCCTTATGGAAGTCTTTGAAAAGGTAGGGGGAGTTGAGGTCAGGGTAAGCCGTCATCGAGCTGAGGACATGTACATGTTGATGATCTTGGAAAAGACGGAGGACCCCATGAGTTCATGTAGGGTTTAGGGTTTAGGGCTAGGGGGGCCATTCCATGGCCCCCCTCCCCGTTGCTCAGGCTTGAGGAGGTCCGAGTTTAGGCCATCGAGCCTTGTTTCAACCTTGAGGGTTACGAGAATAAGGCGTAGTCTTAGAGTCTTAGACGTCGAGCGCCACGAGCAGTCTGTTGTGAACCCAGCGGCCTTGGAGATTAGTGTTGAAACTGTGTCTGCTTGTGTCTGTGTGTCTGTCTGTGTGTGCACCCCTGATAGCAAAGGGCTTTTGCACATTACTGCACGGGGCTGAGGGCCCGTCAGCGGCACGTCGGCCAACGAAGACTGCCGGTGACAGGGCGTGAAACTTACCTGCGAATCAAGGGGGAGGGTGCACCTGGGTCGTCGTGACAGCCGGCGGCCCTCATGAGGAGTTCCTGGGTCCGTCACGACAGCTGGAATCTTCACCCTTTGCAAGTGCAAGTGTGATTTTTTCCTTGCAAGTACAAATGTGTGTTTTTCCGATATGGCATGGGGCTAAGCCAAAGACGTTCGTGATAAAATTAGGTTGAAATTGCTCAGTCAGGGAGTGTTCATCTGGGTCTTCGACCGGCATTCTGTCAAAGAGCCGGGCGTAGCCGCCTGAGTCTATGCGATCCAGGTTTGCATGCGAAAGCCCTGCATGACAACTCGATACGCTTTTCCTGATGCCTGCTCAAGCCAAACTTGATTGAGTTCTTGATCGATTCGTTGAATATCTCCTTGAATATTTCCTTGATTGAATTCCGGAAATCGAACCTCCCAAAAAAGCATTGGAGGGGCTGCGACTTTGGCTATCCTCCACGCTGACCGTCACAAGAAGGCAGCACCGGAGGTGCTGCGGACCTTCGCAAGCGTACATGCGGGCTGTGTAGAGAGGGCTGCGGCGCAGCCCTGCGAACTCCCCCACGTTGACCCAGGGGCGAGGTAGTGACTGTGTGTGTGCACCCCTGATAGCAAAGGGCTTTTTCACGTAACTGCATTGGGCTGAGGGCCCGTCAGTGGCACTTCAGCCAACGAAGGCTGCCAGTGACTTTCACTTTTTGCAAGTAGAAGTGTGATTTTTTCCTTGGAAGTACAAGTGTGTATTCTTCAGAGGTGGCATGGGGCTAAGCCAAAGACCCCACAGAAGTTTATAATAGAATGTGGCTGAGATTACCCCGTCAGGGAGTGTTCATGTGTGTTCATGTGTGTGTGTGTGTGTGTGTGTGTGTGTGTGTGTGTGTGTGTGTGTTTGTGTGTGTGTGTGGGGGTCAGACTGTGGAATTCGCCCCAAGCCATAGTTCTGCCGATCTACTTTGGAAAAGGAAAGGTCAAGTCTGGAAAGGCTCAAGCCTGCAGCGGCCAAATATCGCGAGTAGTTTAGCATATAACATATATATGTATATATATATATATATACATATGTATATATATATATATACACACATACATGTATGTATGTACGTATATGTATGTATGTATACGTACATATTGCATATATACATGTATACGTATATACATATATACAGTATTGTTGTTGTTATTATACTTATGATTGCATGTGTATTGTTTTACTACAACTACTCCTCCTACTCCCACTCCTCGACCAAACTCTTTTGGACTTATAGTAGCCCCTTACAGAAGCCCATGTAGATCCTGCCTAGTCCGCCTACCAGACCATAACTCCTAAACTCCCAAACCCCAAACCCCAAACCCCAAAACCCTAAAACCCTTAACCCTAAGCCCTAAATAAATCCCAAAACCCCAAAACCCTAAACCCTACGCCCTACATAAAGCCCTAAAGCCCCCAAACCCCTAAACCCCAGGACGATGACGACGAGATCCTCTTCACCCAAGATGGGGAGTGGACCGTCACAGGGAAGGCGGACTTCGCCGTTTTGTTAGGTTGTTTTGGCGATGGTTAGGGTCAGTTTGGGGGGGGGGGGGGTAGGGCTTAGGGTTTAAAGGGTGTATAAGGCTTTCGGGTTTGAAATTGCTGGTCTAGGGTTTTGGGCCTGGGACCTTTTTTTTTAGAGCTCCAGTTGACCAGATAATGGGGCTGCCGGTGCCAGCCACTTGAAACCCCACTGTCTGGGGTTGTTTCCGACGATGGTGTGTTGATATGGGTTCAGTTCTTAACGTGTAGTGGTTGGGGTTGTAGGTTTGGGGCTTAATTAGAGTCTACTAGGACCCAGAGTAGGCCCTTATTCCCTTTTTAAGGGTTTAGGTTCCCTTATAACCCCCTTTATCCCAAAAAGGGCACCCTTTTTATTCCTAGGTTACTCTTGGGTCTAGTCTAAGGCTTAGGGTTAGGGTTTTGGTAGTTTTAGGATTCGGGCTTAAGTGCCACGTTTTAGGGTTTCGGGCTTGGGGTTCAGGCTTGAGTGATGAGAGATATCAAGTCACTGAGTCCTCGGACTGTCTACTGAACTCTACGCCGAGGAATCGAAACTCAAAGGTGCTGGACGCGAGATAGTTTCGAGCTTAGGCAAGAAATAGAGCAAGGCTGGTCACTCTTGAACCATGACCCAAAATCAAGAAATTCTCAAACACAAGCCCTTCAAGCCCGCCTCACGCTAGACTTAGACCCCAAAGTCTCTCCAGCACTGAGTCCAAGAAGCCGAATTCCATAAAACCCGAAGCCCTGAACCCAACAGCACTAAACCCCTAACCCTCGACCCTAAAGCCCTAAATCCTGAAACCCTCTAACAGATGCTCTGAGCCAGATCCCGCCACCGCCTTCGCCATCAAGCGACATGGAGGTTCCGAGCCCATGGCTACCAGATGCTAGCATTCATCCTTTCAGGATTCCGAGACTTGTTCTGTAGGGTTTACCTATAGTCTCCATTGTAGTTCCTTTTGGGGTTTACCTTTAAGGATCCTTAATATAAAATTGGGTAAACCAAAAAAGGAGCTACAATGGAGACTATAGGTATAGTGGGCGCAGGCAAGCACGGGCCAAATATACGCAGCTGTGTGCCTGTCGATTCCAAGACTGTGATAGCCGCGATTGATTCACGGGTTGTATCATGGAGTTTGCGATAAGCGATACCGTAGGCATTATCACCCTATGGTCCCTATGCAAATATTGATAAAGAGCTGACACAATGGGGGAGGGGGTAGGGGTTTGGCTGTGGGCCATTTTGGTTTGGGGTGGTGTAGAGGTCTCGGGGTACGAGGGCAGCGGCAGCTGCTGCGGATGCGGGTTTCAGAGCCCTGCCCTCTGGGATCCGGAGCCCTCGACCCGATCCTTTTAGACTTTGAAGAAGCTTCTCTCTCTCTCCCCCTATCTCTCTCTCTCTCGCTCTCTCGCTCTCTCTCTCTCTCTCTCCCTCTCTCTCTCTCACTCTCTCTCTGTGTCTCTCCTCTCTTGGCTGAACCCAACTTCATTAGCCCCAAGCTGGCCTCCCGTGTGTTGCCAGGAGCAGGAACACCATTCGGGGGACGAGCAGGAAATCCTCGCCGACAAGCAGTCAGAGGCTTGAGGGTCTGCGGTTTACCTAAATTTTCCATTGTAGTTTCTTTTTTTGGGTTACCTTATGGGATCCTTAATATATATATATATATATATATATATATATATATATTTGGTTAAACCAAAAGAAGGAACTACAATGGAGACTATAGGTAGGGTGTGCATATTTTGATTCCAAGCTGGAGTCTCGCTCAAGTCGAATGTTTTTGGACTGAGGTTCATTTCAATGGTCACTTAGGGGCAGTATCTTGCTGCATCGGTAGCTGGGTGCTGAGTAGAGAACATGTTATTTCGCTGAGTTCGTGATTGCTTGCAGGAACGTTCCAGGACAGTTGCAGAACAAGCGCCAGCTACAGTTCTTTCCGGCAATTCATTACCCAGAGGCCCCATAGTAG